GGATTCGAACCACAGTTGATGATATGTGAGTCCAGCACTCTTAACCACCATGCCACCTGCCAGTCCCTCCAGTGTTTGCTCTTAAGGGAGCCTCGTGGTGATACGCTTCTTACCTTTCAACAAAGAAAGAAAGAAAAGTTAGCATAGTACCTCCAGAAGGCTGCAGATTGCCTTCTAACATCCGCCTAGTGCTTGTGTAGATTATTAGTTCAGTATGTTACCTATTTCTTAAAAAATACACTGTAAGTTGTCAGCTAAATACTAAAATTGAGATAATTTTCAGCTGATAATGGATTATTTTTGTAGAACATACCCTTTCTTCTCCTAGAATAACTTCAAGATTGAACCCCAATGATTCTTAGTTTTTTTCCCCTTAGCATTCCTGCCAGTGCATATGTAGTCAGTCTTTAATGTGTTTAAGGCTTTAGTACAGTAACACTGGGAACTGAGGCTTTAAAAAATTCCCTCTGACTTTTTAAGTATTCTTCATAGGCAGACGTGCTTAATAGCTATTGACTACATGAGTTTTCTGAAAGATTTTTCTGGGAGTAAGTAGTAACATATGTAAAAGATGTTTTCTTCTTCAGCGAGATGAATAAAGCATATTTTATTAATACATTTGTACTATAAATATTTAGGATTGTAATATCAATCAGGTGAAGACATTAAAAATAATTTATTCTGGTGGAAAACTCATCCTGGGTAGAAAGTCATATTTAAATTCAGAGAGAGAAGTGTCCGTAGTTGGCCCCAGGCACAAGTGTATCATCACCACGTAGTCACCATAGGACAAGTTCAGGTAAGCTGGACCAAGGATAGTGTCTATCTTGCTCACGAGATGCTTAATGTGGCTGTTTCTTGGGTCACACTAGTCTAGTCTGGACTAGCAGCTTGCCTGAGCATGGTTCTAGGCTGGAGCTAACTTTCCCTCAGGATTTTTTTTTTTGTTTGTTTGAGAGGTTTTTGCTATAGGGCATGTGCGCTCACTAGAAAGACAGAGAGAGACAGAGACAGAAAGCGAGAAATCACCCCCCCACAGGGGGATGGCCACACCGCAATCCTTTCTCCTCTATTCTCCTCTCGGGATCTTGGGCATGCACGCACACATGCCCAGCGTGAATTTAAGCCACTGGTTCTGGGACTCGAACCACAGGTTGGCTACATGGGAGTCCAGTGACATAGCCATTACGCTAACTGCTGGTCCCTCCTTCAGGATTTTAAAAGCATTACTTTATTGCCTCATTGCTTTGAGTGTTGAGGAAACTATTCTGATTCATGATTCTTTGGATATGACTTTTTTTGTTGTCTTCTTTCTCTCATCTTTCTTGAAATATATACTACTTTTTGTTTATTTTTGGTGTTCTGAAATCTGGTGTTTTTTTCTTTTTTAGGTTTTTCCCATAGGGCTCATGCACTTGCTGGAGAGAGACAGAGAGAGGGGAAGTCAGAAATCACCCTCTACTGGGGCCATGGCTATACCACAGTCCCTTCTCTATTCTCCTCTTGAGATTTTGGGCATGCATGCATATGTGCCTGGTGTGATTATCAAGCCACCAGGTCCAGGACTTGAATCATGGTCAGCTCTATAGGAATCCAATGCCTTAACCACCATGCTACCTTTTGGCCCTAGACAGTGGTCTTTCTGAGTTATAAAACTGAAGACTCAGTGGATGTTTTGGTTAGACTGTAGAAAATCAAGTCTCAGTTCTGGTGAATTTTCTTTGGCTTATTCAGAGATTCTCCCTCTATTTTGGGAGATTGAGGGGATCTTCCTAGTATTTTGATGCTGAATCTTGTTACTTGTCTCATTTTTATATCTTTTTTTTTTCACTTTTTTCTTTCCCTCCTGCAATTGCCTCTCAACCATTTGCTTTCCAATTTCCAAAACATTGCTGTCCTTTTCTCTTTGTTTCTCTCCATCCTGTGGGCTGATTTCTGTGTTTTTTTTTTTTTTTTTTGTAAAGAATCTCATTAACTCTACATTTAGGATTTGATAAAGGAGCAACAGTGGCTACATATCTTTAAATTTGTTCTCTTACTGGGAAGCTGCAATAAGTGGTTTAAAATAGGAAAATAATTTGAATAGTTCGAGGGAATTTGACATTCTTTTCTAGACTTTGGGGGTTTTGTTCCCCCCAGCCTGGATTCTCTTCAAATGATTGTTCATAAATGGTTCCTCATGATTATTCCATAATTTTCCTTTATATTTAGAACTTCCAGAGGACCACTGTCTTGAAACTTGTGGCTTCAAACAAGGAGTGTGGAGGAGGGGGTGGAGGGACAAGGAGAGGTGTTACTAGCGTCTATCAGGTGCCATTAGAATGGTGATCTCAGTTTTATGTTACTTAATCCCCACAGCAATTCTGTAAGGTAAGTGATATTATCCGGCCATATGGATAAGGGTGCAGATAAAGATCACAGAGGCTAAGTAGCTTTGCTTAAGAGCCACTCAGAAAGTGGTGGAGCTGTTTCAAGCCTAGGCTTAAGATCTTTCTGCCCTTTCATGTCTACCTTCTCCTTTTACTCTTCTCAAACTAGGTGAACAACTCATTATTTACCAGGGAATATTGGGTTGCCTTTGAGGGCAAGGTCTTAGGAACACAGAGAGGAACAGTTTATGCTCCGGTGGAACAGGGAAGACATGATCAGATTTACCCTTCACTGGCCTTGCTGGTGATCTGTGTGGAGTGGCAAGAGTAAACAGGCAGCTAAGTTATTACAGAAGTCCTGGTAAAAGGTGATGTTGGTTTGTGCTAGGATGGCAGAGGAGATGCAGAGAAATGAAATTTAAAATTCATATTGGTGGTGGAGTCAACAAGATTAGGGGGGAGTCAGAATTTTGGATGGCCCAGAAGAACTAAGGATGACTTCAGGTTTGATTTGAACTGTATTGTTGTTGCCTTTACTGATATGAGGAGGAGCAGGCTGGGGTAGTAGACCACAGTAATACCAACATAGTAATAATAATGTGTCTATTACATATATCCACGCGGAGGTATCTGGCAGGCAAGTGAACTTCTGGGCACTCAGCAGAAGTCTGAGCTGGAGAAATTAATTTGGGTATCACTTACCTGTGAATGATATTTAAAGACATGGATCTAGGTATTGTTATTTAGGGAAATGTGTGGTACTATGAATCTGAAGCAGTGTTATTGATTCACTTCTATGAAAAAAATCTTCATCTAATTTGTTCATTTGCAATTATATATAAATCTAATAGCATTTGCTGGATGGAGAAATCAACCTACAGTGTAGCCACTACATAGAAAACATTAACCAGAAAGCACATTGCAAACATGCCAACAGTTGGCAGCTCTTTGATGAGCTGTATGCTAACTGTCCTTAACTTTCATGAAAGACTGCACCTGAGAGCATCCCTATGTAGATCCTAGACTTGAGAATGCTGCATAAGAGAGAGATTATGGCACTGGAGTCAGCTCTTTTTTTTTTTTTTTTTTTTTTGAGAGGTTTTTGCTATAGGGCGCATGCGCTGGCCAGACAGACAGACAGAGACAGAGAGATAGAAAGCGAGAAATCACCCCCCAGCGGGGATGACCACACCACAATCCCTTCTCTTCCATTCTCCTCTTGGGATCTTGGGCATGCACACACATGCGCCTGGCATGAGTTTAAGCCACCGGGTCCAGGACTTGAACCTCGGTTGACTATGTGGGAGTCCAGAGACATAGCCATTATGCTAACTGCTGATCCCTTTTTTTTTAAGCCACCGAGTCTGGGACTCGAACCGCAGTCAACTACATGGGAGTCCAGCGACATAACCATTATGCTAACTGCTGGTCCCTTCAGCTCTTCTTTAAATATAGATAAGTAGTGAAAAAATATATTCCCATTGAAATGCTGAAACTAGAAATCTGGGATCACTTGTTAGGTGATTCACTATTACATATTAATCTCATAGCATCCAAGCTCATTAAAGCAAGTATTATACATGTCACAGATCCTTTGGGTTGCTCTCAGTAGACAGAATTGTGAATGCTAAATTTCAGAATCCAAAGTATGAAAACCTTGTGTAGTAACAATTGAAAAAGTATGTCAGAATTCACAGAAGGCAAAAAACTGGAAACAATCCAAATGTTCATCAACAGATTGACAGTTCAACAATCGTGGTATAGTCATTCAGTCAGCTAGTGCACACAATAACATGGTTGAAAATGTTGAAAATCAAAAACATTTTGATGAATGAAAGAAACCAGATGTAAAAGGATATAGACCATTTGCTCTCATTTGTGTGAAGTTAAAGAACTGGAAGAAACTAATAGCAGAGTGGGATGCCTGTTGAGGGTGGGGATTGAGCAAAACAGACAACTTTCTGGGGGTGATGAAAATGTGCTGTAAAGCAGTTGGGGTGGTGTGTGTTAAATGAGTTTATCCATTTGTGTAAACTCATTAACCTGTATGCTTAGATTTATATATATTTCACTCTATATAGTTTTACTTTAGTAAAACATTAGGAAACAACCATAAAAATAGTATGAGGAGCAGTTCTGTGAGAATGATTAGAGGGAGGATATCTCTCAGAATGTCAGGGAAGTTCCCAGAGGAAGTCATCTTTTTTTATCCCTTTTGGTAGAATATGGTTTATTTTTAATCTGTTAGACAACTCCATATGATGGCATCTGTTCCTGTGAGTACTCTTACTTACTGTGCAAACCATCGTAGTCCAGTTAGTAAATGGGAGTGCTATCGTATGTGACACTGTGACAACAGGCAAAAGCCGTGACCATTTCTATTTCTGTTTTGGCCTAATTGTAGAACTCTGCTGCAGTCACAGGTGAGAAGATGGCATTGTTACATGAGGGCAGAACAGTTTCTGCTTGGCTTTATGAAAAGGTGGACAAGGGGTGGGGAGGAGGATGTTCTGTGGCAGGGGAAGGGATGTTTCTAAGAGTTGAGATTTACATGTGAACTTTAAAGAGAGATGTTATTTCTCTTCCATTTCTGAAGTAACTCATGTTGCTTTATTTGTTCCTTTGAAATAGGAGAAAGTGGATAGCCCTCTTCAGAAATGGAGGACGGGAAGCCCGTTTGGGCACCACATCCTACAGATGGATTCCAGATGGGCAATATTGTGGATATTGGCCCTGACAGCTTAACAATTGAACCCTTGAACCAAAAAGGCAAGGTACGTTTCTCAAAAAGATTTAAAAATGTGATTTCTTTCAAAAATATTTTATTTTCTTAAAAGAAGTATCTTTCTTACTAATGAAGTAGATATTCCTGGCACAGTATAGGAAAAAACAAGTTTCTGGTGAACAAATCTTATTTTTCTACTGACTTCTTTGATTAAATCATGAGTATATACCTTAGAAGGAAAAGGGTATCCTATGATAAAACTAGACAGAAATTTAGTGAGCCTTTTGTAATCACATTGTTAAGAAGGAGTAGCTATAGGATAAAATATAAGCAATAACAGCATTTTTATTCTGTATGCCACATTAGAAATCTGTTAATATATCTATAATGTACTTACATGTTACAAAGTACAAATATGAAAATGAATGGTGTTATATTACCTAATTTTGCTTTTTGCTGTAGTATCTTACTAAGTCTTTTTTTTTTTTTTTTGGTGGTTTTTGCTATTGGGCATGTGTGCTCGCCAGCAAGACAAGAGAGAGACAGAGAGACAGAAAGTGAGAAATTACTCCCCTTTGGAGATGGCCATGCTACAATTCCTTCTCCTCCATTCTCCTCTTGGGATCTTGGGCATGCACGTGCACCTGGCATGAATTTAAGCCACTAGGTCCGGGACTTGAACCGTGATTGACTACATAAGAGTCCAGTGACATAGCCATTATACCAACTGCTGGTCCCTTGCTAAGTCTTTTTTTAAAATTTTATTTTTTTAAACTTATTAACATGGGATTTGGGTAAATATACTTCTGTTAATGAAAAATACTTAAGCCTTAAAACTACCCATCTAGTACTATTTTTGTGATAATAAAGTTTATAAAATAAAAAAAAAATTTAATTCTGTACACATGGTATTTATTTTCTTTTATGTTTAAACATAGATTAAGCCATATTACCAAAAAGAAGTGTGAGGAAAAAGTGACCAGGAGTTAGGAATGCGTAAAGAAAATGCATTCATTATAAATACCTCTGGGGACTGGTAGAATCTATTTTTATAGAGAGTTTCACAATTTTCAGTTCAATAAATATTCCTGTTAAACAGTTCTGACAAAATTAAATTTGTGGATGTCATTTCTGTTTACTTTAAGACTGTGCAAATGTTCATGAATAATTTATATTCTACTGATACATGGTTAACTAATGCCATGTGACTGCCATCCTACTGGGAACCTTAGAAAAACAAGGTGGATCTCTCATGAGGTCTTTTCACAGAGAAAACTATTCTGTTACTGTAAACAACCCAGGAACTGAAATGCATAATATATAATGTGCCATGTTAGAGGAGGCCAATTAAAGATACCCTCAGGAAAGGAAAGACAAAGTATTTCTAGTTTTTCCTCTTATTAGCAGGCACCTATTTGTACTTAGAATGCAGTACATGTTAAAAAAATGAAAGAATTTAAAAATATAAGCTCAGTTACTTTATTTATTTGAAGTTTTTGATTTTTGCTTAACACATTTTGTAAGCATAGTAAATCAAAAGGCCAAAACAAAAGGAAAACATATATTTCCTAGGTATATTCAGTTGTATATATTCTATTATAGTCACAAGTGACAAAAATAATTGAGTTCAGGCATAGAGGAAACTTGATTTATGGGGATATGCCTTTTGGTATTCTAAATATTTCAGTGTGCTTTGAACTGAGCCTTATTAGTATTAGGTGCATGTATAGAATCATGTAAAAATTTTTAAAAGACAGTGCTTTGTTGGGGATTAAAATTAGTAATAATAAAAAGAACAATCAACTAAAAAGTTATCGCAGTCCTGAGCTTACAATGTAAAATTTGAATTTACAAAGAAAAATGTAATAATTAAAAAAAGAAAATTTGAAATAAATAATTATAGAAATAGATTGTAATGCCCCTTTCTCAGAAAGTAATAGGACAAGTAAATAAAAAAAATTTTTTTTTGAGTATTTTAATGAGAAACTTTAGCTTGCTCATTTAACCCTATCTTTTTTTTTTTTAAGAATTATTTTATTTAACTTTATTTATTTATTTTAATTTGACCAGAGAGGGAAAGGGAGAAGGAGAGGGAGAGGGAGAGAGAAAGACTGAGAAAGTGAGAAAGCAAGCTGCCAGGTCTGGGACTTGAACTGCGGTAGATCATTTAGGAATCCAGCGCCCATAACTACCATGCCACCTGCCAGCCCCATAGTCCTATCTTTTTTCTTTAGGTTTTAGCCATAGGGCATGTGCACTAGCCAGAGAGAAAAGGAGATAGAGAAGAAAAGTGAGAAATCACCGACCCCACCCCAGGGGAATAACTACAGTGTAATCCCTTTTCCATTCTCCTCTTGGGATTTTGGGCATGTGTGCACATGCACCAGTGTGATATTCAGGCCGCTGGGTCTAGGACTTGAAATATGGTCAGCCATGTGGGAGTCCAGCACTTTAACCTCTATGCCACCTGCTGGCCCCAGTAAAAAATTTTGTGTTCATATATAAAGCATTTGAACAACAAAATTAGCAAAATTTAATTTATAAATTTCTACATTTAAACTGAGTACAGATAAACAGAGTATTTGTAGAACTTTAACATAACTGAACATAACATTCACTGTTATTTCCTAGAATTAATACCATCCAAACTAGTGATTCCAAAATCATGACAAAAATAACAATATAAATAGGATTGCATTTTATTTTATATAGTGTTGAAATACGAATAAAGATGGGCATTTCCTTTAAAAATTTTAAGGCTAATGGAATTTTAAAACAATAGGGATACTTAATATGAAACACATTTCAAACAGTAGCATAAAAACATATATTATAAAATAGTATGTAAAACAGAAATTTTGGGACTAGCCAGGTGATGTGATATTTAAGGCAGCTGGATTTCACACAGCCAACTGAATGGTTCAAGTTCTGAACCTGTTAGCTTGAAAATCACACTAGGTATGTGTGTGTGTGCTAGCCAAAAATCCTGTGAGAACAGTGGAGAAAGGATTATTGTGTGGCCATTCCCTGGAGGGGGTGCTTTCTCACTTTCTCTCTCCTCTCTCTCTCTCCAGTGAGTGTGCATGCAAATTAAAAAGTAAAGTTTCAGTACACACACACACACGTACACTGTTAAAAATATAACATTAAAACATGCTTATCATTGGGGCTGACAGGCAGAGTGGTGGTTGAAGGCACTGGATTCCTACATGACCAACCATAGTTTTAGTCCTGGACCTGGCAGCTTGCTTTTTCGCTTTCCCTTTCTTTCTCTGTCTGGTCAAATTAAAAATGATAATAATAATAAATTAAATTAAATAATAATGCTTTTCTTTTTTCTTGGAGAGATTTTCGCTACAGGGTGCATGCGATTGCCAGCCAGCCAAAGACAGAGAGACAGAAAGCGAGAAATCACCCCCCAGGGGGGATGGCCACACCGCAATCCCTTCTCCTCCACTCTTCTCTCAGAATTTTGGCACGCACGCACACACGCTCGGCGTCAGTTTTAAGCCACCAGGTCCGGGACGCGAACTGCAGTCGACTACATGGGAGTCCAGCGACATAGCCATTATGCTAACTGCTGGTCCCAAATGATAATTCCTTTTTTAAAAAAATGCCTTGCAAGCAAGCAGACAAGCAAAGTGTATCCACTTGTGACATCATTGAGTTGCAAGTATTTATTTATTTTTTTCAGAGAGATTTTTGCTGTAGGGTATGTGTGCTTGTGAAAGCAACAGAGAGAGAAAAAAGGCAAGAGTGAGAAATTATGCCTGCACTGGGGGTACGCCACACTGCAGTTCCTTCTACTCCATCTTCCTTTCGGAATTTTGGGCATGTATGCACATGTGTCTGGTGTGTTTCAAGCCTCTATGCCTGGGACTTGAACTGTCCTTGGCCAGGTGGAAGTCTAGCAACATAACCACTATGCCATTTGCTGTTCTCGAGTTGCAAGTATATTTTATGCACCTTTTTTCCCAGCTATATCTCCTTGTGTCTATTTTATTGTTGTAGTTTCCTAGAAACATGTCTCTTTTATGTTACTGATACTGTGATTTCTTTCTCTTTTTTGAAGTCATGTAGACTTAATGAAGTCTTGAAGTCATGTAAATTTTACATATCTGTAGATAATTCTGTAAACTAAAGTCCACTTTTCATTCCACAGAAAAATTCTTAGAGAATTAAAAAATTTTCAGGTTTACTTTTAATCTTAATTTTTCCTCCCTACTTTCTGATTAGGATCTTAATAAATCGTAAGGTGTTATTATAGCTAGATAGTTAGTTAAAAGAGTCCTATAAAAGAAGAAATCATTTGTTTCAATAATTAATGGTCTGGAGATCATCAGCCTTTAAATATTGAAGAATTATGTGCATAAAACAATAGACTAGTCAAGTACACCTGGTTTTTTGTGTTTTTGTTGTGTCTCATAGTAAGAAATAATTTTACATTGTGTCAGATATGTATGTTGTGCATGTGTAAATTTATAAGAAATAGATTTTACATATTAACAAGTATGTGATGTGTGTGTTTGGATGAGTGAATATTCAGGTGAGATAGAGGTGGTCTAATAAATCATCCTTAGAACATGCTATACAGATATTTTCTAATATCTTTTATTCTGTTGAAAACACTGTCTTGGGGGGGACCAGCAGTTAGCATAATGGCTATGTCGCTGGACTCCCACGTAGTCGACTGTGGTTTGAGTCCCGGTGGCTTAAAACTCACGCCGGGCGCGTGTGCGTGCGTGCCCAAGATCCTGAGAGGAGAATGGAGCAGAAGTGATTGCGGTGTGACCATCCCCTCTGGGGGGTGATTTCTCGCTTTCTGTCTCTATGTCTCTCTCTGTCTGTCTGGCGAGCGCATGCGCCCTATATCAAAAACCTCTCCATAAAAACAAAACAACGACAAAAAAACCCCACTATCTTGGGGGACCAGCAGATGGCATGATGGTTACATTGCTGGACTCTATGTGACTGACTGGGGTTTGAGTTCTGGACTGCAGGCTTAAAACTCATTGGGTTTTTATGCATGTGTGCCCAAAATCCTGAGAGGAGAGTAGAGGGGAAGACATTGCATGTGGTCATCGCCCCCAGGGGTTGATTTCTTGCTTTCTGTCTCTCTGGGGAGCTCTTGTGCCTTATAATTAAAAAAACAAACACAAACAAAAACAAACAAACAAACAAAAACTCTCTCAAAACAAAACCAAAAAATGTTGTCTCGACCCTCTAAATTGATTTCATGTTTTGTTTTTGCACCAGACTGGCCTTTAAGCTGAAACTCTAAGTGTAGCATAAAAGCGTCTTCGTTTTCCTTTCCTTGTCTATTTTGCTGGTTTTACATTGTGCAGCATAACAAGTCTCCTCCTCATACTCCTGCCATGTATTTCTTCTTCTTTTTTTTTCCCCAGAGAGACTTTTGTTATAGGGTGTGTGCTCAGCAGAAACACAGAGAGACAGAAAGCAAGAAGTCAGCCCGCCAGGGGGTATGGCCATTCCACAGTCCCTTCTTCTCCATTCTCCTCGGGATTTTGGTCATGTATGTACAGATTCCCAGCTTGAGGTTTAAGTCACTGAGTCTGGGACTCAAACCACAATTGACTACCTGGGAGTCCAGTGATATAGCCATTGCACCATCTGCTGGTCCCATGCCATGTATTTATTCTCATGTGTTTGTTTCTGTTTCTTTTCCATCCTTCTGTAGTATTGAGTCCTCACCATGAACCAGGAGGTGTTGGGTGCTATCTTAGCTCACAGGACTCTTTTGGGCTGGCATGCCATTCTCCATAGCCTTTTGCTCAACAAATACTTATCTTTTGAGACTCCCAGATTGAAGTCACCTTCTTTATGGAGTTTTTCCCCAAATAATCTGTCTTCCTACACAATAGAATTGACTGTTCATCACTTTTTCCTTCCAGGGGTGGTTGAAATTCTTAGCTCTCTGCAATCTTTGTTGGAGATAATTGTTCACATTTGTTTCCTCTTCCCTGCTACACTGTAATGTTCTTAAATATAGGTGCTATTTTGTTTGTTTTGTCATTGGAACCTGATACAGTGTATTTGATGTGTGTAGGTGTTTAATGCTGGGTGATCAATGTGTGTTGTGTTGCGTGATCTTCTTTTGATATGAGAAAAAACTTCCTTCTCAGGACCAGCAGATGGTTGTGTTGCTGGACTCCCACATAATTGATCGTGGTTGGAGTCCTAGACCCGGGAGCTTAAAGCTTACGCTGGGTGTGTGTGCATGCATGCTCCAAGTTCTAAGAACAGAATGGAGGAGAGGGGATTGCAGTGTGGCCATCATCCCCCTGAGGGGGCTGGGTGATTTCTTGGTTTCTGTCTCTCTGTCTATCCATAAGCACATGTGCCCTAGTGCAAAAAAAACTTTTATTTTTTTTTAAAACCTCCTTCTCTTAAGAGAAAATAGTTATCTTGTAAAATAAATTTTCTCTAGAAAAGGAGAAAAAGATGGGAATTGGTAATAATTTAGGGCATGAAGAAGAAAGGAGAGAAACCATTTTTCAGGACTCAAGACTAGACTTGCCGTCTGCTCATAATCTCTCTCATTCTGGCAGCTTTTTCTTGTGGTCCTGCCCTCACACCCGTATCCTCTTCCAACTTCCCAAAGCTATGAACCAATGGCTAGAACCAATCCCTGGAGTCTTGGAGCCATTACCTTTGTTGCTGCAGCTGTGAAAAGTGTGTCCATAGGTCTATGACATTAGCAGTTACTTTTGAATGCATTTTATTATAAATTCATTGTTGTAAGTTGTGAGTTGCTTTATATTACCATTGATATACTTAATGCACACTATGGCTTAGTTTACTTTTCCTGGTATATCCTCCAGACTATTTTATATTAGGAACATGTGTACTGGGTTCTAAATAATTAACTTCCACAGTAACTTTTTTTCAGAGTTTAATTTAGAGTATAGCAATTTTTTAAGTTGGGTATGGTTGTGAACTAAGGTAGTGCCAGCAACCTGGCTTTACTCTGTAGATTACAGAGGTAGCTTTGTCTTGTACTCCTTTTATTTTTTTTAAGAGGATTTTTTGCTATAGGGTCCTTGCACTTGCCAGAGAGACAGAGACAGACAGAAAGCGAGAAATCCCCCCCCCCCCCCAAGGGATGATGACCATGCTGCAATCCCTTCTCCTCCATTCTCTTCTCTAGATCTTGGGCACACATGCACTCATGCACAGTGTGAGTTTTTAAGATGCTAGGTACGGGACTCGCATTATGGTTGGCTAAGTGGGAGTCCAGTGATGCAACCGTTACGCCATATGCTTGTCCCTTCTTTTTTTTTAAGAATTATTTTATTTAACTTTATTTATTTAAATTTGAACAAAGAGGGACAGGGAGAGAGAGAGAGAGAGAGAGAGAGAGAGAGGGAGGAGAGAAAAAAAGAGAGAAAGGGCGAGAAGAGGCCGCCACGTCCAGGACTTGAACCATGGTTGGACATGTGGGAGTTCTGCGCCCTTAACCACTATACCACCTGCCCCCCCCACTGGATTTTTTTGATCGTTTCTTTTTCTTAGGAAAGATTTTTGCTGTAGGGCATGTGTGCTCACTGGAGACAGACAGAAAGTGAGAAATCACCTCCCGGGGTTGCTGCAGTCCCCTCTCTCTTTCATTCTGCTCTTGGGACTTGGAACATACATTACACACACCCACTGTGAGTTTCAAGTTGCCAGGTCCAAGACTTGAACCACGGCTGGCCATGTGGAAGTCCAGCACCTTAATCACCATACCACCTGCAGTTCACCTTGTTTTATACTCTCGCATATCTGTGCAAATATTATTTTAAAATAGTTAAATAATTTTTCCTTGCTATTTTATTTGATATAGTTGGAAACTTCAACCACAAGGGTAATTGTAATTGTTTCAGAAGTATAAATTTATGTATAACTGTTAGAATGGCATGCATTAACATTTAATTCTCTTTAGATGTAATTTGAGATGATTTGTTCTTTCTTACAAGATGCTATCTTAGTTCTACAGTGTCTACCACAGTGTTTAGGTGATAAAATAAATGCAGACTTATTTCATGGATACTTATAATTTTATAGACCAAATATTTTGGATACTATTTATATTTCTGACACTTTTTTTGTACAGGAATTTTTGTCAAATACATTTTATTCAAACAGTAGCATTATTTAAATAATAGTCTCTCTTGTGGGTATATTTGATGGACTATTTTTCCTTTTTAAAAGGAACAAAATTGCTGTATAGATAAACAATAAAAATTTTATTTCTTAAATAAGTTGTTAAATGGCATATGTATAAATTTAATATTAATATGCTACACTCTAGGTGTTAGAGCCTAGGATGCTTATTTATTGATTTCCATTATTTATTTCATGTCTACAGAAATAGTGGATAATATTTTTGAGTAGAATTATTATTACCTCTTTTATGGGTTAGTGACCTATTAAATAGGTCAGATTTATATTTTAATGAAGAGCATATTGTTGCCATTATTATAGTATGTGCAACCAGTTAAGCTCCTTTTTTACTTACGGTTTGCTATTTATAACTCTAAATTTTAATGAGCTTTTGTTTTCTTTGTTAGACATTTTTGGCTCTCATAAACCAAGTTTTCCCTGCAGAAGAGGACAGTAAAAAAGATGTGGAAGATAACTGTAAGTATCAGGTTAAAAAACAGTTTTTAGCATAGAACAGGAAAGTGTCTTTTCAAAAAATAAATTAGTGGCAATATTACTAGTGCAGAGTACTGCTCCAGAAAAATGTGGCCTTTTGACATGATGGTCCATGTAAATAGAGGGCCTCACAAGTGCTGAATTCATTACTGTCTCATGCTCTCACTGTGGTACAAGAGTCTCTTAAATTTGGTCTTTTTAGTGTTATTTCAGTTGAGTAAACGTGGGGAATGGTAATAATTTACCGTGAAGCTTGAATGAAAGGGCTCTTGTTAATAGTTTTAAGTTATTTTGAACTTATTTAAAGTCAGGTGATATTTATAGTAATCAATGTGGTTTAGAAACTTAGAAAATTGAATCAGTAGGAGGCATTTAACATCACTGTTTGAATCAAGTAACATTTAAAAATTTTTGTAAGTAATTACTGATTAAAAAATTTATTTCAACATGTTATATTAAAAAACATTACTTTGATTTATAAGTATTTTAGCATGTTTGATGAAGAAAACCTTTATCTGGTGAACAAGCCATAGTTTATTCTATATTCTGAAGATTAAACAGCCATCACATTTCAGGGTTTTTTTTGGGGGGGAGGGGAACAGTATTGAAGAATTATATCCCATTGCCATAGGTTTTGTTAAAGATCTCTAACATTTAAAACTCTCCAAAGACAAAGATAAAAGAAAGGAATAAATTTGTTCTTATTGATTTTCTTAGGTTTTATTCACCTTTCATAAGTCTGTGTGATCCCTGCATATAAATGGGGGCAGAATGAAATAGTGGGGTAGAGAATGGGGGAGCCAGGGGTCGCGGTGTCAGGCAAGTCTCAGTTCTGAGTCTGACGGTGAGGAAGCTGTGTGTTTATCTCTCTTTTGTGATTCTTACATGTAAAATGGGAGTAATAATATGTTGCATGCTTAGAGATCATATATTTAAAATGCTTGTCATAGTGCCTAACTTCTAAAGACTCAATAAATGGTAGCTGTTAATATTAGGTGCAAGAGACAAGAGGAAAAAAAAGAGGTGTTCTGTTTTTCTGAAATTGCTGGAGAGTTTGTCTGTTGAGATAATACGTTTCTAAACATCAGTCGAACAAAATAAAAACAGAAATGAGACTATGCCATATCTAAAATAAGAGAAAATCCTTTCCTTGTTGGGGGTGGGGAGAAGGCAGTCTAGTGGCTTGGTGGTTAAGGATGCTGATTCCTACATGGCTGACAGCAGTTCAAGTCGCAAACCCAGTGTCTTGAAAAACACACCATGGGACCAGCAGGTGGCATGGTGGTTGAGGCACTGGACTTCCACATACCTGACCACGGTTCAAGTCCCAGACTCGGCAGTCTGAAAATCACAAAACATTAATAGATAAATTAATAAATCATTTTTTAAAAAAAGAAAAACATGCCCTGTACATGGGCATGCTTGTCAAAATCCCACAAGGATGGAGAAATGGAGAAGGGGGTTAAAGCACAAGCATACCACATTGGTGGAGTGCTTTCTTCCTTTCTTTCCCTCTCTGTCTTTTTGTCTCTTTGGCAAGTGCTCACAACTTGTAAGAAAAAAACTTGCTAGGTTATGCAGTACTAAAAGTAATGGTTTTCATGGGCTTATAAATGTATCCCTATAAACATAATATGTGGTTTTTTTGAGAGGTTTTTGCTATAGGGTACGTGCGCTCGCCAGACAGACAGAGAGAGACAGAGAGACAGAAAGTGAGAGAAATCACCCCCCAGGGGGGATGGTCACGCCGCAATCCCTTCTCCTCCATTCTCCTCTCGGGATCTTGGGCAC